AAAAATTTTCCGGGGGGGTTTTTTCCGGCCCCCCCCCCCCCCGGGATTTTTGGGGGGGGGGAAAAGGTCCCCAAAAAACCCACCCCGTGTTTTGGGAAAATTTTTTTTAAAACTCCCCCTTTTTTGGAAAAGGGGCCCCCGGGAAAACCGAAAAAAAATTTGGGGGCCCCTTTAAAAACTTTCTGGGGCAACCCCAAAAAGGGGTCCCCCCCCCCCCCCCGGAGAAAAAGGCCGGGAAAAAAAACCCCCCCTTTTAAAAAAAGGGTTCCGGGGGAACCCTTTTCCCCCGAAAGGAAGGGAAAAATTTTTCCCGGGAAAGGGGGCCCCCCCCCCCCCCCCCTAGTTCCAACACCCGTTCCAACAGGAGAAGGACGCCCCCCCCCCCCCTGCTCCAAACACGAGAACGTCGCCCCCTAACACTGAGCTCATTTTTTACCGGGTGCCCGCCGTGGTTTGGTTGCAGTGTGCTGCCGCCTGCGAAGACATTCGCCGGAGGGTGCCGGGCGCGGCGTTGGATGCGTTATCGCTAGACCTTTCCAGCGTCGAAAGCATCCGCGGGTTCGTCGAGACCTTCCACAAGACTGGCCTCCCGCTGCATGTTCTCGTCAACAACGCCGGTGATATAATATAAGACACGCGTCTAGACTAGCCTTCGGGTGTTTGTGACGATGTTGTGGTTGCCGTTGTTGTTGTTGTTGTTGTTGTTGTTGTTGTTGTTGTTGTTGTTGTTGCCGTTGTGGTCGTCGTCGTTGATGACGCCTGTCGTTCTTGTTGGCGACGGTGTCGTTGGTGGTGATGGTGCTGTTCCCGATTTTGCCTTTCGCCGTTGCGCGGCTTACCGTCCTTGGCTTTAAGCCGCCTATGGACGGAATCACACGCTGATTTCGAAAATTTTGGGGAGGGGGCGCAGACATTCTCGGGCTCCTCGGCGCCCTAAACTGGCGTGGTCTGCCCAATGTCTCCACCGCGGTCCAGAGTGCCGCTCGCGAAAGGTTCTAGGATATTCACTTCATTTAAACAACGTCTTGCTCGCCTTACTGCGTGAAACTCGGACGCATCATGCTGATGGCAGGTCGTGTGCCCCTCCAGATCGCAATGATTCCTTCGCGCCTCTCACCTCCTCCTCTTTCCCCCCGCCTGTGTTCGCTCTCATCGCGTGTCAAACGTTTCGTTTTAACGAAACGGCTCGGTGCTCTCTTCAACGAAGGGATAATACCAGGGAAGCCCGGGACAATTCGCGGGATGGAACAGAGCATGGTCGTGAATCACCTCGGCCCCTTCCTGCTGACCCACCTCTTACTCCCGGACCTGCGAAAAGCATCCGCCGCCGCCGCCGCTCCGGCATCCGCTATTGGCCATGGAGATCGCGAGCAAAGTCCTGAGAACGTTCCTGGAACCGGTCCTTCATCGAGAATCGTAAACGTTGGGTCTCGCCTTGAGAAGCGGGGTAATCTTTGGGCGGCAGCGGTATCCGACGGCGGCGGGGACACCGCGGTTCCCCCTGGGACGCGCTGGTTCCAGCCCCCCCCCCGGAAAAAGCACGACGCTTTCGGCCTGTACGGATCCTCGAAGCTGTGCAACATGCTCTTCACGTTCGAGCTCGACAGGCGGCTAGAGGCGGCGCGATCAGGGGGGCGACGGCTTGTTACGGCTAACATCGTGACCCCGGGAATCGTCAACACAAAGCTCGGCGACGGCACGGTCAGCCCTTGGGTCGCTTGGGCGGGCGCGCCGCTGAAGGCGGCACTCATGAGGACCGCGGACAAGGGCGCCGAGACCGTAGTGTGGGCGGCGACATCTCCGGAGATCGAAGAGATCGGCGGCGGAAAGTTTTTCGGCGACAAGAACGAAGTCCCCTGCAGTGACGCCTCTAGGGATGAGGACCTCGCCCGGCAGCTCTGGGAAGCCACGGAGCAAGCGGTAGGGTTAGAAGAAAGCGAACGGGTCGTGTGAGCTTGCTGGTGCGGTCGTGGTGCGCTGGAGTAGCCCCTTTAGACGGGCAGTAGCCCTCGTGGTTTGTGGTCAGCTACCTTGGTGTCTGAGGGACTTGGGGGAGCTATTGTGTCGAGGCAACCGGGATCCGAGTGCGTCGTCTCTGTTCGTTTGTCTCTTTTCTTTGTTGAAAAGCGCTTATGGTTGTGGCCGAAAAGAAAGTGGTTGCAGCCAACAGGAAACGTGATCCAGAGCTCTGATTCCTCGTAAAGCGTCGCGCACGTTTGGTCTAGCAGCCCCTGCTTTCTCCAGGCGAACAGCAACTCTACTGCCGAAGGTGTACGAGGTTCGGTTGCTGTTGTTGCCAGAGATGTATCAGGTGTTCGTGGCGGAGGTGTGCATGATTCTGAGCCTCTTAAGGCCCTCGTCTTGTACTTGTATAACGTTTGCGGCTTAATTATTTCCTCGTTGCGGTTGGTTAAGAGTTAAAGCCACCAACCATGCCTTGTCCGACTGGCACACGTGTCAGATACACACGCGGTTTCCCGCCGATGTGCCCGCGTACGGCGGGGGTGCGCCTGGCGGGCATGGAATATCCCGGCATAGCAGTATGGGGTGGGGGATAGTGTAGTGTTGTTTGTTTGTGCGTGTCGAAGGTGGAGCATGCAGGCCTCACCCGTGCACCATGTTGGCATATTGGATGTGTATCTACGTATGTGTGTCAGTGTGTATTTATTGTGTGTGTCCCCTTTCGGCGGTAGTTGGCTTGTGACCACGAAAGGCGTTCGCGTCAGTTGGACCAGTACGGACACTAGAAGGTACTGAGCGGAGACCGGAACGGTTTTTAAATGTGAAAACAACCACAAGACCAATTTTACGGTGGACTCCTACCAAGCATCGCAGCCGTTGTTTCCAAGTTGTGGTTGATTTTCGTTGCTGCCGCGTCCCCCCCCCCCCCCCCGCTCCTCGCAGGGTCATTCGCAGTAAGTAAACATGTTAGATAAAAGCATGCAATCGGGGAAGTTGGGTTAGGGTTGGGGAATAGGGTCTGCGTACCCCCTCCCTGTTCTATTTCCTCATAAACTTAACTTTTGGCGAAGGCGGTCCCTCTCCCCTCCTCCCGCGCTCCGCGCCGAGGAGCTCGAACGCAAGGAAGGCTCGCCCAATTGAAGGACGCTGCGGCGACACATGGGGAGATAGATATTGATGTAGCGCAATAAACGACTTGTCCGCGTTTTTTGATGATCAATGGAAATTGTATCATTTCATTCTTCCTCCGAATCAGCTTCTTCACCACAACCTCTTACTGTTATGGGATTTGGACCCTTGGACTAAAATACCAAGAATCTGGGCAGGTGGTCGGGATGCATAAGATATACCCGCCGCCCAGATGTATCTTAGTCCGGTCCAAATCCCGCAACACAATTACATTAGCTAAAACCGTGGTCTAAAGGGATTGATTGGTCTTTTCATTTTTATTCCAAGAACACAACGAATTCTTCTACAGATAAGATTCCGCGATGAAGGGAAATCTTGTAAGTGACTGTAGACTACTACTATAATACTACACGATCACGACGAACAAACCAACGGCTTATTTCGTCTCCTACTCTTATATCTTACAAATTCAAAACGTGTGGCTGCATAATATGTAGTCAATTCAAAACCGCGTGGAAAACTCGTATGACATGTTGATGGTTTCTCTGATTTGGTGTTGGCAACCACACCAAGACTCCTCTGCTGCAGCGCGCAGCAGATTTCAGGTACTTTTTCTCTTGCTCGAGGGGAGTCGTGCTATAACCGTGACCTGACCCCCCCTACCTTTTACCTCATCTTCGGTGCCCCCGATTCGAACGGAACGGAAGCCGACCCAGCGCAGCGCACAGCACACGCGACACAGACAGCCCTCGAGAGAGAAGGAACGACGCGCACACACCCACCACCTTTCTCTCAAGCAAAGCAGCAAAATGGGACCTCCTGCGCACCTGAAGCCGAACCACAAGGGCAAAGCCGTGCTTGCCGGAGGTATCTCTGGTGTGGTGGAGATCTGCATGACGTACCCGCTCGAGTATGTCAAGACCACCCGCCAGCTTAGCAAGGTGAGGACGTAATAGAGGTAGGAGGGAGAGGACAGGGCACGAATCCTTTCTCACGTGCGTGCTTGACCTCTCGCACGCGCCTGCGTCCGGTGTGCATCGTGGCCTCGTTTCGCGTGAAGGAGTTTTTGTGCCTTTTGATCGAAGTAAATTTTCCCTTTCACGTGTGGGTGTTGTGTGTGACGTGTGCTCGTGTCATCTGTCTCTTGAAACGAATAACGCCAGAGCTCTCCGCCATAGGTGTTACAGCAGCTCTCCCGTCACTAGTGCCCGTCGTGTGCAACTGTTGTCGGGCAGAGAGATCCTGACCGAGCTCCTCTGTCTTGCCAGCGATACAATGCACGGGACACACCTCCTGCATATGCCCGACACCCGTGCCCAACAAGACGCGCAGAGCACGGTTATCATTTGCGCACGCGTTCGTACACGCAAGAATATATAGCGTGTGCATGCGTTGCATGCATTCGTATGTGTACAACGTACTCCCAGAAGTAGAACGCGCCTTCTCCCTTGCGGAGAGGAAAGTTCCACGGAAGAGAGAGAGCTTTCTTTCCGCGGATCGCTACTCTCTACATAGTCGACGGGTACCATTACACGCTCTGGGTACCATCGACCAGCTATGTAGCTATCTGTGCATATGGCTGCTGCTGCTGCTGCTGGGGTATCAGGGTATCAGGGTCCCGATGTCCCGATTTTTTTTCGTTTTTGCACCGCTGGTTGTTCGGTCCAAAAGTGTCGGTCAGTGTCACGTCAAGGTATCCACAACGTAAATATGTACTCCTGGTGCCTTCCTTGTACGCACACACACAAGGCGGCAGGGCATCGGCGGGGCCGTCTGAATGCGCCAAGACAGCCAACATGTCTTGGGCACGCATAGCCAGGATGCTTCGTATTGCATGCCGCAGTCACCTCCATTCTATGTAAATAGTATCTTCACTCCTGCTGCCGGGTGTTCACGATCGAGAAGGAGCCGTAGAATATGTTTGTCTTGCACCTGTACTTGCGTAGTATGCCAACATGTGTGGTGAGCACAACAGCAATCGTGCGCACACTGCTACTTGTTCATATATCATACCACTCTCGCAATCACAACAACAAACACTGCTGTGTAGATGGTAGCCCACAAGATGCCCCAAGATGTCTTGCTGACCCGCAGCACAGAGATATCACTGCTGAGAGGGGAACAATCGAAAATGCAGCCATCCCGTCTCAAGGCCCACGAAGCACCGCCGTTCCATCTATTATGAGGCAAACAGGTTTTCTGTTCTTTTTTATTTCATCAATACTTTTTTCTTCCACTCAGCTCACTGCTGTAAAAACTTCATTCATTTCAACACATCCCCTTCCACTGCTGTGGTTAGAATACAGCTGTGTATCTCGAACGGGAAAGGAAGTCTCTCTGCGTTCTTACTGTCATTTTTCTAAAAAGCCCGATGGACTAAACACCCGCTCGCTACACGTATGTATATACATGCCTCCTCGCTGGTGTTGACTGCACAGCAAGAACATGCGTCTTTTTTGCAAGGAGGCTACATCTACACTTCGTTCTGTTTTCTTGGCGCCGTAGTTGCTAAATTCTGCTGAGGTCGCTTCATGTGCGGAAACGCCACCAAGACTTGTGTGTACTTGCCGGGGTCTCCCGAGATGGTATTGATGCACGCCAACGACATCAAATGTAACATGCTCGCCCCCCACCCCCCGAGCCGGTGGTGCAACTCGACTTTCACTGATAATTCACAACCACGAAGAACGTCTATCCGTACTGGGCTCAATTTTGAGTGTATTCAACCCGATACACTCTGAAGGATCGGTCCCTCGAGCGGTATGTGAGCCCTGACCTGTGGTTCCCGGATGATGAAAACTCTCGAGTCTTGCTGCACGCGATATATACGTATGTACATGTACGTGAACGATCCAAACCTACTACTTTCAAGCTTTTGGGGGCTCGTGTACGCATGTCTTTCGCGGCCGCCCCACATCCACCCTACAATCCCTAGCCCTAACCCCCCACTCCCGTCTCGCCTCATGCCTCGAACGCACTACAACCCCCACCCGCGACAGGACCCGAATGTGACGTACGGGTCCGTCATGAGAAATACGGTAAAAAATACGGGATTTTCTGGGTTCTACCGCGGTCTTTCTTCGATGGTCTACTTCGCCGCGCCCAAGGCCGCCATCCGTTTCGGCGCCTTCGAGTTCTGCTCCGGGCTGCTGAGCACGCCGGAAGGGGGAGACAAGTACGGCCTGGGAGCGGTGAGCGCAGCACTTGGAAGTTGTTGTTAGCGGTGTGTTTGTGTGTGTTTTTTTATTGTTAGCATCGACCGCGCTAACCGGCTGACCAACGAAAATACGTCAGTCTCAGTGCGGTTGAAAATACGAAATGCGTTGTATTTCTTTGATTGACATCGACCGCACTAGCCGGCTGACCAACGAAAATATGTCAGTCTCAGTGCGGTTGAAAATACGAAATGCGTTGTATTTCTTTGATTGGCATCGACCGCACTAGCCGGCTGACCAATGAAAAGACGTCAGTCTTCCTAGTGTGATTCGTCGTGCCTACAATTCTGGCACCAGTTCTACACATCACGGCGTGTACATTTTCTGACATATCAGCCGGAGTCACGAAACAATCAACACGGAACCGTTCGTAGCAGTCGGCTGTTTAATTTGCCATACGCACGCGTGCAGAAAGTCTTGCGGGCTCTCTCCCCCCCCACCCCCCCCCCCCCCGGCATTATCCAGCCCTTCCCCAAAACAAGAAGATTTATTATTATCTTTTTCTTCTTCCACCGTCCGTGCTGTGTATTTGTGTCCCGGCAAAGGGCTTCTCCCTTCCCCAAAACAGAGAGATTCAGTAACAATTTTCTTGTTCCACCATCCATCCGTGCTGTGTATTTGTGTTTGTTTTCAGGCCAAGGGTTTCGTAGCCGGGCTGGGAGCCGGTGCCGCCGAGGCGACGTTAGTAACCACGGCCCAGGAGACGATTAAGATCAAGCTGATCGACGACCAGTTCAGCAGGGAGAAGCCCCTCTACAAGAACTTCTTCCACGGAGTCAAGACCATCGTCGCGGAGTCCGGGTTTTCGGGGTGAGTTGAGTTCAGTGTTTCTCAGGGTTGTTCACGGAGCGATTTTTTCTTCGGAGCGGGGCGGGGCGGAGCGGTTTGAACCGCTCCCGCTCCGTGATTACTGCAAGAGACAGCGACGCGGTGAATTAAGAAAGAAAAATGCTCCGCGGAGCGGGTCTACTCCATGAACCGCCCATGTGTTTTTTTAGATTGTGATTGTGGTGGCCGTGGATTGGGTTTGCGGTGGCGCTTGCACGAAGCCAAGACTCCAAGAAGAGGTGACCCGATTTAGGGCACGAGCAAAAGAGGCGTTTTTTTTATATATTAGGCGAAGGAAATAGTGTTAGAGGAGGTGGCGCTGCCTAGCACGTCACCTACCTACAGTTGTTTTCCCTACTTGTATCGTGAGCGGCTCCTGCCGACAACAAACATGGTGTTTTATTCGTTTAGTGGAATGCAGTGTAGGAGATATTGTGCCATCAACGTTGCTTGACAACGGTTTACCGACTCTACCAATAGCTATGTTTCGGTAATCCGCAATAATGCAACGGTCCCTCAGTAGTGCGGTTGAACTTTCAACTAAATTACCGCATTTCTGTTGGACCCTGAAACGAATCGCGCCGCGTCCGTTAGTGGTATCTTTTTTCAGCTGTTTCGAGGGATCCCCGCAAACACGAGAGATGCGACGGGAGGTAGCGTACGTACATATCCATCGAACACAGCACCATGCGTGTAGTGACCCTCCCCCCCTCCCCCGGCATATCCCAAGGTCAGTCGCCTACCCGCAAACAGCATGCATTTACATGACCCCCCCCACACACACACACAGCTGAGGTCAAAAGGTCTACGGCATGCGTTTACATGGGGACCCCCCCCCCCCGCGCGCGCGCGCCCATCCCACTGTTTTCCAATCCTCGCAGCATCTACAAGGGATGGTTGCCGAACGGTGCTCAAGGTTTCCACCGCTCAGGCCACCCGCTTCGGAGTGTTCCAGGTGCTCAAGTCTTCTCCCTACTACGGGAAGGACTCTCCCGTAAAATCGGCCGCGGCTGGGGCTGCGGCCGGTGCGGTATCGGTGTTCGCTTTCCAGGTGGGTGGCGTTTTTTTTTCGTCTTCTGATTTTATTCCAGCGACACTGACATAAGTTAGGGTTTTGGGGTTTATTGGAAGCCCGGGTGAGGTACGGTTTGGCTGTTATATCGTATCGCTTCGAAGTATTAAGGAAAATAGATGCACACACAGAAAGACTACCCATTCGAGATATACCCACAGTAGTCGAACGGGATGTGGTATATCGCTTTGAGTACTTTACCAAGTATTGATATTTTTTTGTTGTCCTCAAAAGTGAGGACAAAACCAGAGAGGCTACGTCCTCTTCCCATCCTTCAATCTGTCGGACTGGGCGTGTATTTTGTCTTGTTGCGTACCTACATACCACCAAATTTGAAACGCAACTGCTTGTTGTTGTTGTTGTTGTGCGTTGTGCAGGGTATTGACGTGGTGAAGAGCCGGATGCAGGGGCTGGAGTCCGCCCAGTACAGGTCCACCCTCCACTGCGCGAGTGAGATGCTGAAGAACGAGGGCATCACCTCCTTCTACCGCGGCATGGCACCCCGACTGACTCGGGTCATGTGCGAGGTGGCAATCACCATGTCGCTCTACGGCGAGGTGGTCAAGTTCCTCAACAGCGTGTGGATCACCGACTAATTCTGCCGGACGGGGGGGGGGAGGGGTTCAGTGGTGTCGTTATTTGTTCTTTTTTGATGCCTCCGTTTTCGGGAGCTGGTAAAGTTCCTCAATAGTGTTTGGGTCACCGACAAATGCTGTCGGACCACAGCTGGTGGGGGGGGTTCCGTGGTGTCATTTTTTCTTTTTTTTGTCATCTTTTTTGTTTTGGAAGTGGGAGGAAAACCGAGTAGCGGGTGTAGGTGGTCAAGGGTAGGCACAGGTTTGGGAGACTGGTGGAGTCATCGCAATATATTTATTGGCCCGTTATCCCCGACTCACTCTATCCCTCTTTTTGCTAGGGGGGCGGGGGGGTCGGGGCTTATGTAGTGGGCCCCCGTTGGAGTTCAATTTTGCCAGTTTTGAGGGATGTTGGTTTATAGACAACAATACCTACGTACGGACACAATTGAGGTATGCACACGTGTCAAAACTCTTTTTTTTTTCGAAGACGTGCAAAGCGCACACAAGACACACACAAACAAGAACGGGGCGATATTCATCGAGACACTATACTGCTTTAGATGCCGCCACCGAAGCAACAATAAAAAAAACGTTTATAGATGGATGGCCCCATGACCCGCCGCAGATTTTCAGATGCACACAATTCATCCAACAACGCCACGCATTTTCCGTTTGTACTGTGTGCTCTCTTCTCTTGTTCCACCCGCTACTGCTGTAGTACGTACAGTCCTTTGTTTCACATCCAAAACAAGAATTCAATCCACCCAGCTCTCTCGAGCTACAATGTATTGCACTTGCAAACGCATTGGGCGCGTACTGTTTGTGTGCACTGCCACCCTCAGCGGTTTGTAGTGTTGGAAGCTGGGGACTATGTTATCCCAGGAACAGCACATGAAGAAAAGGACCATTTATTATCTATCCGACAAGCAAAGCCCCTCAGGCAAGTGCCGGGAGCACACACCGCCGTGTGCTCACTCGGAGGCCGCGCAGTTGGATCTCAACCGCATACATACCCATCACATCCATCCATACTTACCATACGCGTATGTATCCCCCACAGAGGATGCGCAGATCGGACTCATATCCAGGTATCACAAACACGTACAGTATTAGTCGAAGACGAGGAATGAATGCACCCGTTACCAGCCAAAAATGTGACATGGTGCCTGCGTGTGTGAACCGAACTTTTGTCCCGGTCCAACTTGCTGATGGGTGAATTCGTGAATAACCTCGGTCCTGTGTTCCCAAACATGGGATCCACCATATCTATTCCCGGCGAAAGAAAGGTAAACGAGCGCTCAAAAGTGTGATATTTCGGGTGAGGTGGACCTCTCTCACACACCCACCCAAAAAAGAACACGCACATCATACAAGCATGGACACATCCATCCATCCAGTGGACACGAAGGGATAAGAAATCGCAACACGAACGTGACACCAAAATAAAAAAACACGTAAAACCTCATATAGAGAACCCCCCCACCCCCCCCTGCTCCGTCCTCTCGAGGACACGTGGTCGCTGTTCTCACCGCTAAGGCACGCAAAACGTGAGAATACCCTCTCCCCGCACACATAATTACGTCTACCCTGTGTGGGCTCGAGGAGTGATTTTATTCGGCCGTGTTCCCTTGCCATGGGTCACGGCACTCATTCTCGGCAGGCGCCCAGCGACCTTAGAGTGTGTGGAGACTACCTTCACAAAGGCTACAATCTCCCAACGCCTTTCGAGGCCGATTCCCTCGTTTCACAAGTCTGCCTCGCGATGAAACGACTGCTTCTGGTGCAAGAAACCCGGAATTTTCGACCGCTAACCAGCGGACGGACGGGCGCCCAGCGACCGCACACTACACGTGAAGTGTGCTTAAAAGGATATCTCGACCAAAAACCGGCTCTTATACTTTTTGTTTGACCCCAATATCTGGGTGGGTGGTTGGGGGGTCCGTCACATACATGCAGACCTGGGTTTCCTTCATCTCAATCTCGGGTTCTAGAAAAAACATCACCCGTTCGTGCTCACCAATCGTGAGTAACAACGGCGACAACATCAACATTCCGGAAAAAAACTGCACTTGTTGTGTTTGCACCGCCATCGAAAAACCCCGGGAAATCCTGGAAATACAGGTACAGCCTCCGCTGACGCTATGGATTCATCGCTAATCTATAATATACTCTTTTTATATAGACAAAGATGGAATTGTTGTACCATATCTACTACTGGTATTCAGAAAGAAAAAAATAAATCTAGTGTATCGTCGGGGGGCGTTCCAAGCCCAGCCCCACGTACGAATCTTCATCCATATGGCCAACCAAACGATAACCTCCCTCCCTCGCGACTACTCGCGCGCCAAGGACAACTGGCGCTTGAGTACATGCCACAACACGCACGCATCAACAAAAAAAATAAAAAAAAAAACTCGGGCCATTCTCTCGGTCGGACAAAGGCATGCTGCGCTACGGCTGGCTCCGGGAGCGGTGCATTTATTTTCGGGACACATTTCAAGATCACGACCTACTGCTGTACTGCCCACAACAACCGGACGACGTCGACGAAAAACACAACAAAATCGGATGAACGGGTTCCTCGCGTTCACACAAGAAACACCCAGAAACTGCCCCAAGGTTCGTGGGTGCTTTTTTTTACGCTTTGCTGCCGCACGTCGAGAGAGAAGAGAGAATCGTTGCTGTTCGTTCCGTTCCCCTGCGCTAGATAGCAATCCCGAAGCGGCACTGGACGTGCCGCTTCGTGGGTGTTTTTGCTCTGAAAGAGACCAACACTGCTGTTCGTTCCTCCCCGCGCCCTCCCGAGCAGGCACTGGACGGGCCGCTTTTTTCACCCCAGCAGCTTCACATCCGCTGGCGTCGTCCGCTTCCCGCGGTTGAGCAGCGACTTCCCGTGCTTGGCGTCCCAGAACAAGAGCAGCAGCGTCAGCCCCAGGCAGACCACGCACACCACGACGAGCGAAACCATGTCATCCTTGTACGACGAGGTCCGGTCCTTGGAGTACCCGAAGAAGACGTTCGACAGGATGTTGCCTATCGCTGACAGCACCTGTGTTGTTTCATGTCATTGTTGTGAGTTCCAAAATACGGCATGGAGAAAAAACGTACCCCAAACACAAGAAAAAAAAGAAGAAAGCATCGAGTACAGGGGATATTGCGGCGAGGGAGCAGCGCTTTCCTACGGGTTGGCATCAACACTGAGGACATTCTGGGGCAGAACAGCAGTGTTCCCAAGATAATTTGTGTGTGACGATGACGACAGCAGCAACCACGAGCACCTCTTACCTCTGCCATCCCGAAAGCGGCGCCATAGACGGACGGGTGCACCGTCAGCGGCAACGCGCTCAGCAGAATCGTCGGAACGAACGATTCACAAAACGCCAGCATGAGGATGCAAACCACGGGCCCGGCTCGTTCCTGAGACCAAACACGATGTTTGCAGAGGTCGGGGGGGGGGATACTCGTATGTTTTGCATGCCGTAGAGGTTAGACCGTTGGTCACGAGTCCACGAGAGGACGGAGCATTGTTCCCACAGGACCGATGATCACCGATGGCCAATCGTTGGTACTTTCCTACTTTGCCAAAGGTGGCTCCACAATGTTTTCCCGCCTTTTTCTGATAAAAGTTCCCGCCTTTTCAGCCCCCCTCCTATGCCCCAGCGAGGGGGCTAGTTCGGGGGTGGGGTACAGACACGCAAGAGTACGGGGCTGCCACCACGATACCTATATGATACATCGTTCACATTGCGACACCTACATGGCAGAGCAGCGTCCCATGCCGCGCAAACGGGATAGTCGGCAGCAACCGAGAGCAGTAACGTCACCATACCGTCCCTCACCCCCTCTTCTCCAACACCAAAGCAGGCAAGCAAGCATGCAAGCACGAAAGAATGCAAGCATGCAAGCACGCAAAGCATGCAAGCACGCAAAGCATGCAAGCACCCACCGTACCCCCCCCCCCCCCCCCACCTTTCCGCTTACCTCCAGCAGTAGGACGTACGCCATGATGGTGATGATGTTCGCAAACAGCAGAACAAACAACTGGCTTCCCCATCGGTTCAAAATTAAAACCGCGATCGGGGCGCACACCAACCCCACCAAAGGCATCACCGCCGAAATGAACCCCCCCCGGACTGGGCTGTCTTTGTAATTCTTGCGGGGGCGGGGGGGGGGGGGGGGGGGGGGGGGGTGGTTGTGTTGGTGATGAGGGCCCTCTTCT